CTACACATTCTTAGTCATGGAAGAGAAAAAAAAATGACCCATAAGTAACCAGTCTTCAGTAAATTTCTTTTAAAGTTTACTATATAGTTTCTGCTAATGGTAAAAGAAGATAAATGACAAGATGTAATTTTTTCCCTAAGCTTTTTTGTTCCCATAGAAAACAAAGTCTCTAATTCAGTGCTCTCTAAAGGATAGTTTCTAGACCCAGTGACATCAGCATCACCCTGGTATTTGTTAGAGATCCAAATTCTTGGACTCTACCTCAGTAACTCTGGAGGTGAGACTCAGTAATCTGAGTCGTAATAAGCCTTCCAGATGTCTCTGATGCATATTATAGTTTGAGAACTATTGCTGTAATTTATCAGTAAATTTTTATGTCTTTAATGACATTTTATCTTTATATGGTATCTTTAAAAATACAAAATACTTTTCAGATTTTATTAAACCATAATATATCCTCTTCCTATTATATATTCTGAACTCCAAGACTTTTGAATACTTCCATTCCTATTTTTCATCCATACATCCATCCATACATACATCTACCCACCTATACCTCCATCCATCCATCCATCCAGTGCCTCTAAAGCATACATCACATCCTCAAAAATATTCTATGTGTTTTGTCAGTCAAAGTTTTGCTTGATAGGAACCTTTGTTGAGTATTATGGAAAGGAATTTATCTCTTGTATTATATAAGCATGTTTATATTGACTCTTAGATCACAGTTTTGAAATATAAAATATGTATCATCTTTAAAGTCACTTTCAGCTCTGGTTCTTTGAGTACAAATAGCAAGTGGCCAATTTTATAATTCTTATGGCCTTTCAGTTATTTCTTAGAATTAATATTTTGGGGGTAGTATATCCATCTTACCTTCTGACCTTCTTTTCAATGGGTATCACCTTAGAGATATTTTGTCTGAAGACTATGTATAGAGTAGTATATGCTTGGGCTTCATTTGACACTGATAATAGGAAACATCAGGGTTTCAAGTGAGTTCATTCTTTTCGAAGCAAAAAATTAGTAATGTCTTTTGTCTCCTAGTTCATGCTAAACTGCCTAAGACCTTTCTCTTTGCATATATGCTAAGCCTTTTCAACACTTAGGATTTGAAGCTGTACAGTTCTTGGATATTATCCTGGTCTGTTCTTTTTTTCTTTTTTTTCTTAATAGCATTATCATGATTAAATACAGGGCTCCCTATTTAAGCAAGAGTAAGTTAATTAAAACAAAATGCACTGCATTAATAAAATATCATCCCCACTTTGAAAGTAACCATTTAATGGTATATAGCATTGATGCAGTATTTTTTTAGAGTTTAGTAGGAATTCACTAAAATGCTTTGAGTGTAGGAATGCTGGAGATACTCATGGTAAAATAGAGAAGTATAATTTTTAAAAGCCTATTACTATAATAAAACTTTTTAGTGTCACTTACACATTTTAAACTTATACTCAGTAATGAGAAATCAGAATTGACTCAATATGTTCACAGTTCATTAGAGAGTTAATGCTTTCATGTCTGGAAGTAAATATCATTTTTAGGATTATGATACTCTTTGTCTGCACCTATCTGTGGACCATATTAGGACCTGTTCTGTGTTCACATCTCTGTTTTGCAATTCAGACTTCCAGGCTGAACTAATTCCTAAATTCTCTCCAGAGAATTACAATATTGTTTACTAAATTGAAGAATTTTGCAATTTTAAATAGAAATAAACTCGCTGCCAAATTTTACAAGATCTAAAAGCATCAGGATGTGTATTTTGGCCGCTTTAGCTCTTCTTTACAGAACCTTATCAGGTTCATGTTTGCTTCCAAAAAGCTTTCTGAATTTTATTTATTCATTGCAAGCCACTGAGGTGATACTTTAAGATAGCTTTGAGACATGAAAAAAAAATGTATTGTCTAATGGAAGCAAAGCAGTAGCAAATCTATGCCAGGTAATATTAAATATTGTAATTGATGATAGGGGTGGCAATTTGGTTTACACTCTCAGAAGAAATATACACAATGATTTTTAAAGTTAACAGCTCTACTGCTGCTTTACCTCTCTGAGAGCAGGGTAGAGGTGTGTGTTAGAAATTCAGACTTCTCTTGAGTAGGTTTATCATGGAACTAGCCTGGCAACTAAACAAAATGTAGAATTCAGAAAAGAACATTATTATCTGGCCATCAGCATGTAGTAAAGTTGATGGTTGTGGACAAGAAGATAAGGACAAATCTGTGTTTTGTGAAATTTTAATTAGTACATGACTTCTTGCAAAACAAGTCAACATATAAACAAAAAACAACCAACCAAGCAAAACACAACATGGTGGGATTCCTAAAGTAGTATGAAGGGAACACAGGCAAATGTGGGGACCTAGGCTGGTAGATACGGTTGCAGAGGCACAAAAGATGTAGAAATGTTTCTGTTAATATATTTGTGAGTATGTGATTTCCCTATCATTTGACTCAAACTGTCAAAAAAAAAAAAAGTTGTAAGTGACAACAGGAGTTAAGCTTGGTGAAAAAAAATCTATGAAATCAGAAATTGTATTCAGTGGCTAGACTATTTCTTCAGCAAAGCTAATGAAAGAAATGTGGTAACTATATCAAAGCAAGGGCACTGAGACTTGGCTAAGGCCTTTTGAACAATTTTAAATATTATACTGACATTATTAGAAATTGTCTTAATTATCCCTCCTTAACTGAATGGACAAGATAGAAGTAATGATAATCATGTTTTAAGACACCTTTGTTATCCCAGAGACTACCATTTTCAAAATTTTCCAGTGTGAAAGAGGCAGCACCAAGTGTAAAGAAAGTTTGACAGGATCTAGTAAATATTACTAGAAAATATGAGGTAAAATTTCATCTTAGCAAAGCCATGAGGAAGTAGAGAGACCTCTTGTCATGGTTCACAAAAGTGAATTTTTAAAAACATATCACATATATTACTTGTAACGGGGATATATTTAAGGTTTGTGCGTCCTAAGTAATAATAATAATGATAATAATATAATAAATGAATACCCATTTACTCACCATCCAACTTAATAGAACATTAGCCATACCTCCAAAGCCACCTTATGCTCTGAACCAATTGCATCTCTTTCCATAGAGACAGCTGTTATTATAGCTTTTCTATTAATCCTTTTTTCTTTATAGTTAATACCACACGTGAATCTATCCTTCAGCAATAAGTTGTTAAATTTTCCTTGTTTTAGATTTTACATAAATGTAAGTATAACTGTGTATTGTTTGGAATTTGCTATTTTTTCCACTCTGTTGGTTTTTCAGTTTCATCCACATTGATGCATGTGGCTATAGATCATTAATCTTCCCTGTTGCATATTATATCATTGTATGCACATACCATTTTATGCATATCTGATCTAATGTAGATGGATATTTAGGTAGCTTCCAGTCCTTAGCTTTTTTACAAAGGATATTGTTATGAACATGTCTGTACATGTCTCCTGGTACATATGTGTAAGAATTTTGCTGGGGTACCCAGGAGTGGGATTACTGGCTTGAAATTGCATATTCAACCTTATTGGGCTATGCCAAACTCTTCCAAAGTGAGTGTATAATTGTTCTCATGACTTTACATTCTCACGGACACCATGTCAAGCTCCAAGAATGATAACCCAGCCTACTCCATGCCTTTTTTTGTGGTCTCTTTTATTGTGTTCAGGTGTTAGATTGACTTCAGGTCAAATAGCAAATTCTTCTTACAGATATACAGCTGTAAGAGTTTCTGTTTCACAATTGACAATAGAGGTAACATCATTGGACTGATAAGTCAAGGAAGAAATTGTTTGAAGTGAGATTCCAAATGTATGAATAAAATATTTGTGGCATTTAATAACCAGAACATACAGTTTTATATGACACAAACTTCGTAATCTCTAACATGCCTTGAGAGTCTTATCTATAACAAGTAATTAATTTCTTGAAGTAGGTCAGTTATTTATTAAAAAAATAAAATAAACTCAGTCCTTGAAAAAGTCAACATTTTGTTTCTAGCAAGTAATATATTAAGCCCAGAACTTAATATTCATGATAGTAAAATTGTAACTTTGGTATGTTTTTTAAAGTACTATCAAACCTTTAAAAGGAGTTGCCTTTTCTTCTCTATTCTCATTATAATTAGCCTAGTCCTGGTCTGTTTCATAGTTTCCTATCCATTCTCTCTTTTTTCTTCAAGACCCTCAAAATTGGATCCCTATCACTTCAAATACAGACTTTTTTGCCTTGTTTTCCATTTTCCAGAAGTGGTTCACATTCAGGCTAATTCTTAGCTACTCCTTCTTGAGGACAATAGCAGTGTGCCATAGCAGAAGGGGCCTCAAGGCCACAGACGTGGTATCTCTTTCTCTTCTGCCAGTCACTAGCTGAGTGGCGTAGGCAAGTCCTTGACTTCACTGAGCCTCACTTTCCACAGCTACCAACTTCAGAGCATCCTCAGATTTTTAGATAAATATCTATAAAATACCTAGTAGTTTAGTGCCTCGTGGTTAATAACTTCTGTGTGCAGAGTAAGCACTGTACCATATACTTTACACATATTGTCTTTGATTTTTAAAACAATAGTGCAGAAAATACAGTAAAGGAAGCTGAGACTCAGGATGATTAAATAAATTGCCCCAGGGTCCACAGCTTATAAAGGATTGAGCTGTTACTCAGTTCCGTGTCTGCCTGACTTGAGAGGCCCGGAGCTCTCATGACTGGCCTTCCCACAGCATCTGCGCCCTGCTTTTACCACATCACACACATCTCCCTTCTCTGAATTCTTCATAACTCTCTCTCTCAGACACAATTTTCATTTTACTGTTTTGTAATAGTTTCATAGGAATAGGGTCACTCTCTGAAGGCACAGACCTTATTATCTTTTATTTCTCACAGCCCAGAGTATCACATACCCATAAAGTACTCAGTAATATTTGATTTATATAATACTACCTTTCATTGAGTTTCACCAGTTTTAATATTTTATATCCTTTTTTATAGCTCATTTCAGCGGCCACGTGGCACTCTCCATTTGGATGATGGTGAATACTGGTCCAACAGAACAGCCTCTTATAAAGGAAAATCCCACCGACCCATCTTTGAGAACAGCATGGACAAGATATACAGGAACTTGTACAAAAAGGCCTGTAGTTCTGTTTCTCATACACAGGAAAGCTTCTGAGACCACCCATGATAAACTGTATGGGTGTCTGTGTCAACTTCTCAATGAAAATGTTTGATGTGATCAATATCTGTATTCTTTTTTTTTTTTAAGCAGGTGATTCTGAGTAGTAGTTAAATGTGAATAAGTTTTTTGCTTCAAATGGTAAATTATCATAGGCAGTCCTTTTTTTTTTTAATCACAGAAGAGAGTGCTATATTCCAAAAGTCAAAGCTCTGCACCACAATCACAACTTCTAGTCTGATTATGAGAAGGATGTTCTGCCACATATATCTCATATCTCCATCTACAAATCCAAGAATAGATTCTCTCTAGAAATGGTCTTCAGCCTTAATCACCTTGTGATTTTCTTTTCATCTGCTTGATTGGTTATCTTGTCTAAGATTAATATGAACTCCTTTTTCTTGGTAATGGGCAAAACAATAAATAGTTCAGAAATGAATTTCCTAAGTTTAAACCCTGTTTTGACTAGTATTTTCTACTTATTTATCCCCCCTAAAAAAGGTTACTTGTACTTCTTAGCTAATAAGAAATAGGTGTTTTTAAAGTTTATATAATCATTCACTTCCTCTTCTGTCAAAGAACTAAGTTACCTACAATACGGTTAGCTAGAAATAGCAGTGGCCATGTGTGACCCAAAATGTGAATAACTGATTTTTAAAAATAGAATTCTTTGCATGATCGTAAGGCCATATCTTTTGGTGCAACCAGAATCAGAACATAGCTTTCGTTAGTAAGCATGTAGAAAGTCGGAAAGAATAAAGGGATTATATTGTAATTTTAAATTCTTTAGAGTTTTCATAGGTGTACCGAATGGCCCAGGAAAGTAGTATCTTTTTTTATTTATTATATTATGTTAGTCACCATACAGTGCATCATTAGTTTTTGATGTAGTGTTCATGATTCATTGGAAAGTAGTATCTTTACTTAAAGGACACTTGGAACCATAAAGAGGGGTAAAATATTATACAGAATGCTTTGTACTGGAAAATCCGATAGTTGATAAAATTAGCTCCTCTCCACCCGCCTTATCCATACCTGAGAGGCCACTGAGTCTTTGAAGATATGAAGAAATCCGTCACCTCATATTTACCAGAGTAAGTGGAGGGAAAGCAAAGAATAGAAAATAAGCAAACTTGGCTTACAAGCTTGAAGAGTTGACTATGAGGTGCTATTCTCTCATTGACTGTACCTTTGGTTAATTCTACAGCTATGATTTAAAAAGAAAAAAAAAATGAACTCCATTTAAGTTGAAAATAACATGTAAAATTGAGTGACTTGTTTTTGTATTGAGAGAAAATATATAATACTTGTTATCTAATAATAGGATTTTTAAACTCCATGTTAAGAGTGTTCTGGTATGACAATCAGTGATGTGTGGGAACGTGCATCAGAGAAAGGGGCCAGGAGGCCTAGGCTCTGCCGTTCTCCCGCTGAGTCTCTTTAACTCTCTGGGCCTGACTTTCCTCAGCTATCACATGGAGAGAATGAAGTGGATCAGCATTTCCCAAACCGTATTCTGTGGACTTCTATTTTAAGAGATGGCTGTAGGAAAGTAGATACAGGAGTTTCATTAGCCATATAAGTTGAGGAAAATCTATACACTAGATTCACACTCCCGAACTTAGAGACTCACAGGTAGGATGGCAGGAACGAAAGGCAGTGCTATTGATCCTGGAACAGCCGTTCCAAACGGGCTGTCCAGGCAAACTGGTGTGTATGGCTGATAAAGTCATAGTCAACACTAGCCTGGTGGAGGTACTAAGAAATCCTGACATACACCTGTTTCGCTCTAGCATCTGGTCTGGAGTCTGACACATAGTGCTCATTAAATATTTTTTGAATTAGCCCAGAATTTCCTAAAGTGAGTGTGTAGCAATATTTGTCATTACGGCCATCGTTCCCCTTCCGTCCCACCCCCTCAGCTCCCCACACTCCCTTTCAAATGTGCCATCCTTGGATACATGCAGACCCCAGTCAAGGAAATAGGACACTATACAATCACTGAGTTACCCTTTGGCTGTAAGTTGTAGGATGATGTTTTGTACAATGAGCTTTTGAAGGTCAACATTGACTAATGCTTTTTTTTTTTAACAAAAAATATTATCAGTGAAACTTAGTATGTTTTGTTTTTGTTTTACATGTGGAAACAAATGAAAAATTCTTCCATTTAAAAGGTCCTGCTTGGTGAAAAGAACAATTTTGAACTTCAAAGAAAATTTCACTGTCATAGAAAATCTCCTGAGTGAATAACTACATCAAAAGTTACCTATTACACCTATTTCTGCCATTGGCTATACAAAGACCACAAAAAATGGGTCTCAGAGGGGAACTTCAGAATATGATATTCAGAAAGATATTTTCCTGTGTATTACATTTGACTTCTCTCTGAAGGATCAGGTGCAAATTTCCAGATATGTAGTATATTAGCTAAGTGTCTATTTCCATTTCCTGGGGAAGAAGTGGTCTTTGTTGCTATCCCTAAGTATTACTATAAAATCTTATGTTATGTTATTTTTAAGGAGTAAAACCTTTAAATACTAATAGTTGTCTTTTCTCATTGTAAGAAGCAGAAAGATGTAGTTATTACAATTCTTACAATGAAGCAGAAAGATGTAGCTATTTCCTTAGCCTTTTAAAAATATTTCTTACAATCTAGTAATAGTTATTAGACTTAATATGAAAGATAAATTGATCTTACTTCTTCCTTTTAAGGTATTTTTGTCCTTTAAATAAAAAAAAAAAAACCTGGGAATTTCAGGAAGAAAGATGTCAATTCAACTAAGAAAAAAGATGTGTGATTGGACAGAGAGTGAGGTCTTCATGGTCCCACTATTAGCTATACAACCTTGTTCAAGTCATTTATCCTTCTTGGAGCTCAGTTTTCTTGTCTATAAGGTGATGAAGGGGTTAATTTAGAAGGGTCTTTTAATGTTCCAACATTTCTATAATTGTATAATTGATTAAGATGGAAGATAAACAAGTTCTAGGAAGCAGAGTTGTATTGTAACTTCAAAGATTAAGCCCCTGATTAAAAATCTGGAGCAGATAGAGCATTCTCATTATTGTCTTCATTTTCCAGTAATAGCTTTATTGAGATAAAACTCATATACTGTAAAGTTTACCCTTTAAAAGTATACAGTTGCGTGGTTTTTAGTATATTCACAGAGTTGTGCAGCTATAACCACTAGCTAATTATAAAATATTTCATGACTCCAGAAAGAAATCCTGAACCCATCAGCAATCACTCCCCATTCCCTTCTGCCCTCACCTCCTGGCAACCAGCAATCTGCTTTCTGTCTCTGTGCCTGTTCTGGTGTTTCACATAAATGGGATCATATAGTACGTGATCTTTGGTGTCTGGCTTCTCTGACTTAGCATAATGTTTTCATAGTTCATCTGTGTTGTAATGCACATCAGTACTTTATTCCTTTGATGATTAAGTAATAGTCATAATGGGGATGTGCAACAGTCAGTTGATGAGCATTTTTATTATTTCCCCTTTTGTGATATTATGAAAAGAACTGGCATGAATATTTGTGTATGAGTTTTTGTGAGAACGTATCTTTTCATTTCTTTCAAGTGTAAACCTAGAGGTGGAAATGCTGAGTCATATGGAAACACTGTGTTTGACATTTTGAGGAACAGCCAAACTGTTTTTCAAAGTGACCCCACCATTTTACAATTTTTTTGTTTTTTAAATTTTACCTTAGGATCTTAGGCTAGTTATACATTTAAGCATCATCCACCCATTCGTCACATGTTTATTGAGCACTGTATTAGATATAGAGAGTATAAATTTGTTAAATGTACCTTCCCACAAGTGTGAAGAGTCGATTGAAAAAAACAACAGTGTATTTCAACATTTACAGTGGTTTGGTAACTTCTTCAGTGGAAGACTACAGGAATGGGGATAAAGCATTGTAGCTTGGTGCAGAATTTGCAAAAGCATGAAAATGGGGAACAGCATGGATGTTCAGGAAACTCCCAAGTGCTTTCACTGGAGATGGTATGCAGGGATGCAAAAGCTTTGGGAGGATGTGTTGAGTGCAGTAAGAGAACTGCAAAGAGGATGACAGGCCTGGAGTAGCATTGGAAGAGGTGGACATTGAAAGATGGGAATGACTTTTGAGAAAAGGAAACCAAGATGGAATAAACAAATATTGATCAGGTTTTATGAAGGTAGAGGTGGGATAGAGGGAAATATCTAGTAATCAGTTAAAAATAAAGATCTAGAACTTTGGAGAAGTCAAAAGTAGAAAATGGATTTTTGAAATCAGATAAAAATAATGAAGTGAGAGAAAAACAAATGAAAGCTCTCTGCTGTTCTTGTCCTAATTTGTACATGACCATTACAGACGCCCTGACAGGAGTGAACCTCAAGCAATTGCACTTTTTGCTTATTGTTGAGGCCTTGGTGGTTAGCATGTTAGAGAGCCACGCTTTTAGAAATTAGGAATAATAATAGAATTATAGTCGCATTATAATTAGGAAAATAGCTAGAAATTCATGTACAAAATGAAGAGGTAAGAGAGGAAACCCAATTTTTTGTTATGAGTTATTATGAGTATATTATTTATCTCTGAGTGATACACTTAGTTTAATAATATAAAGTTTCTTAGACAACCAGAACTGGTAAATATTCATCCATTTATCAAATATTATTGAAGGTCTTCTCTGTTCCAGGCAATCTGCACAGCACTGACTAAATGTCCAGAGATAAACAAAAACACAGTTCCTGACCTGAGTTTGTGGGGGGGAGACTGACATTTACTTATTACAGTGAGAGAAGTACTGTAATAGATGATAGAAATGCTATAAAGATGAAAAGGAAGTCCTAATTAATTCTTAAAGGTGTCATATACCTCAGAAATTAGTAATTAATGACAACTGAAATTAGCTGGTATTCTATCTAGATGGCCTGGATATCATAAGCCTTAGAAAATCACTAGGATTTTTAAAGTAGGAAGGAAATAACCCAACACAGAACAGATATGAGTGTATATGCTGCCACACCTACCTTGTTCTCTACAGGTTAATATTAGTTAAGTCCTTATTCTCTTTACCAAAAATAACTCTACTTTTGAGGGGGAAAAGGTGTGTGTGTGTGTGTGTGTATAAGATATTCAAGAAAGTACATTTTGCTGTATTTCTATAGATCACCTCTGCAAAAGTGTACTGAACATGAGTTAGTGAAATAAATCAGGTTCTTGAACCCAAGGAGCTCATTTTGACTGTTGATGGAGGGTCAGACAAATAATGATAGTATAGTGTCCATGGGTTTCCTTATTTTTACTCTTTTCTAGCTCAGGAGTATTTCCTCATCTTTGTGTTTCGAGCACCACAATCTGAGCATATCTTTATTATAGCACTTAACAAACTCAATTATCAATGCCTTTCTTGTGTGTCTTTTTCTGCTGGTCTAGGGCCCTGTTTACTTCTGTATCTGTGGCACAGAGTAGATGTACAATGTTTGTTGAATGACTGCATGAAAGAAAAATACATGAAGGGTTACTAAAAACAATACAAAGCCTAACTATCTGGACATAAGAAATAAGAAGACCTGATAAGACTTGCTTTCAGCTAGTTTATCTATACCGGTAGCCAAAAGCGAAAACAAAGGAAAAGATAAAAGAGAAATCCTAGTTGTACCGTGGTCCTCAAGAAGAAAGAAATGGCTCATCAGTTGAGAGAGTTAGTGTTTATGTAGTGCAATCTATTTTTTCAAAAAGTACTCTCAAATTAAAAAAGAAATCATGTGATGGCCTGTCTTTTTGTCTGTCTGTTACTCGACTCACCAACTGAGATGTACAGCGTTCAGGTGACGAGGGTCAGCTCCTACTCTGTTGCTGCAAGGGGTGATAAGTACAGGGGAGGCAGTGGACCAAGCAAGCAATTGCCTGCAATTGTTTCCAGCATCTTCTATTCCAATGGAGTTTAATTAAATCCCTTCTATGAAATGCAAATTTCATGGTTCCCAAGAACAACCTAAAATGTTCTTTCCCAATGTTACATGTTTTGTTATTCACAAAGCAGTACATTTTTGACTGAAGGATTGAAAATTCTCCATCTTCTATCCTTCAGATGTAACTAAGCTACTCAATCTAGAAACTGTGGCACTCATGATTAATTAAGAGTTAGCATATTAAGTAAGGTATTTATATGAATATTTAAGCAAAACTGTCTCAATGAAATAGTTTTTTTAAACTAATATCTTAAACCTTAGTGTGTTGCATTCAAGTTATGCTAATTGAAGTAAATGAACCTGTTGGAAGAGAATGCACTCTGCTCTAATTTGTATACTATATGAATGTTTGCAGAGTATTTGGGGGTGGGGTGGTGAGGGTAATTTTTTGGTTTTTTACTTCTCGTCGCCATCTAAGCATCATCTTTAAAGTTCTTAAAACAAGGGAATTAAAGTAATACTTATTTAGGGCCACCATCTGTACTTGGTGATTTACATACATTATATTATTTGATCTTCCCAACAACCCTGTGAGCTAGGGTAGGTATAAGTAATCTCAGTTTTACAGACTAGATAACCAAGGATCAAACTGCTATGATTGGCTAGTGATAAACACAGCCAGTATGTGGTAAAGCTCAAATTTGAATCTAAACCCAATTCTGCCTCTCAACAAGTAAGTGGTTACAAAAACTCAGCTTATTACAGTTAATAACATTTTTAAATGGTGGGGCTAGTGTCTCTTCAGAAAACTGTTGTAGATTATGACCCCAATTTAATTAACACTGCAGTAAAACCTAGGGCAAATTTCCAACATCGAAACACTAATAGTGAATAAAGAGATAATTTCATGAGCTAAGGTAGAAGTTGGTAGAACTGTATGAAAGGAGCATCACTGGAGATTTATTTTAACCCAAGATCTCATGGTAACCAGAGTTGATGTATGGGATAGTTCCAGGTAAAAAGACAATGTGCTTTCTGTGGAGCACTAGTTACCCTCTTTGAATGAGTAACTACATTCAAACGTCACTAACATTTCTCTTTTTTAAAATAGTTTTATTGAGGTATAATTGATATACAAAGAACTGCACCTATTTAATATGTACAGTTTGATAAGTTTGGACCTATGCAAACACCTGTGATATTATCAACACAGTCAAGGTGATAGATATGTTCAACACATTCCAGTTTCCTCGTGGCCCTTTCTGTATGTGTTAACTATAGACACCATGCCATACAGTAGTTCTTTAGGACTTAGTCATCTTAGAGAACTGAAACTTTGTTATTATTAACAAAGGTATTATCCAGATATCTGGTTTGCAAATATTTTCTCCCATTCCATAGGTTGCCTTTTTCATTCTGTTGTTTCCTTTACCATGCAGACAATTTTTAGTTTGATATGGTTCCACTTGTCTATTTTTACTTTTGTTTCCTTTGCTTTTGGTGTGATATCTAAGAAATCATTGCCAAGACCAATGTCAAGAAGCTTTTTCCCTGTTTTCTATTAAGAGTTTTACAGTTTCAGGTCTTAGGTTTAAATCTTTGATCCACCTTTTTTGTGTGTGTATGGTGTAAGGTAGGAACTTCCTTCATTTCTGCATGTGGATATCCAGTTTTCCCAGCACTACTTATTGAAGAAACTGTCCTTTCCCCATTGTGTGTTCTTGGCACCCTTGTCAAAGATCAGTTGACTATATATGTGTTGCTTTATGTCTGGGTTCTCCATTCCATTGCTATAGGTCTGTCTTTATGTCAGTGTCATACTATTTTAATTACTGTAGCTTTGTAATTTAGTTTGAAATCAGGAAGTGTGATGCCTCCAGCTTCTTTGTTCTTTCTTAAGATCACTTCAGCTATTCTGGGCCTAAAGGTTCCATATGAATTTTATGATGATTATTCTATTTCTTGAAAAAAATGTCATTAGGATTTTCATGGATATAGCAATAAATTTGTATACCACTTTGGGTGATATGGACATTTTAACAAGTCACATGGTAACCAAAAACATACACAAAAAAAACATATAGAAGATACACAAAATAAAAAGAGAAAGGAATAAAACATACCCCTACCAAAAATCAACAAAACACAA